CCACCCTGAAAGTAATCCGTAGGTGCACAGTCAGTTTAAGAGAAAAATCGCTCTTCTGGCCGGTCACTTTTTAATGTAACATAGCCTAGCCTGACAACACAAATGACTGTTAGTGGAAATTTAGCCAAGAATAACAAATTTGGCTTCAGAGCTCTGCGAGATACTAACACCCGTTAAGTCGGAAGTCCCTGGCACAGGACGCCTAGATAAACTCACAAAACGCAGCATTCGACCTTGCAAATAGAAAGGATATTCAAGGTAGTTCACTGGTCCCTGAGATGCAGCATACAACAACGACAAGAATTCCAGGGTTCTGACCAGACTTGCGTGTCATCCCATTTCAAAGTAGAACAAAAAGGCAGTATTTCAGTTTGCCACGCTTCATGAAAAAGTGTGCGAACATTATGAGTGGCTAGCCTGAACACGACACCCAGTGTTAGAATAGCTGCGTTTAACATCGTACTGAGGGGGGCGGGGGCAGTTTTATGCAAGTAACTAACTATCAAACTCGAAACCGTACAGATATCCCAATATTTTCAACAAAAGCGAGAGGCTGATGAAAGTTAAGAGGAAACAGGGTTGGTGAAACTAAATAGCAGTTACTGTTGGAAAATGCAAATATGGTGATAATGATTAGTATAGTAGCAATTTGCGACAGCTTTCAGGCTAGTTAGGTTTTTCTTTAATGTATAGTTTCATAGAAGGAAAATGCCATGCAATAATATCAGTATAAAGCAGGTCAATATTAATTATAAATATATTAGCAGAAAGAATGGTCAGCTCCCCCTAAGTCACTTGATATATCATCCCACTCGTTTACAAGACCGAGTGGATCTGCATACAGTGTCTGACATGAAGAGGTGCGCTTGCCAAAGCTACAGAATCCCAAATCTAATGGTGACACTGATCACTACCTAACTACCTAGCCACAAAAACACAGTTTATCAAGCATACATACACAAAGAAACCATAATAAACGGAAATACACGGAAGAAAGAACAGGTAGACGGAGAATAATTAAGACTGAATCGACCTAAACGTTCATGAAAAGTGGATGCATCTCCCCCATTGAAAACAGCTTTGAGCTGTCAACATGTATGAAGCTATTGGTTCTTAGTGTCTTAAGGACTCCAGCTGAAAAGTCTGTATTTCCTTAAGTGACTAGAACAGCCAAAAACTTCGTTAGTAGGTTATCGTTTTCTACGAGCGCATGGAGATCAAATAAAACTATAAGTGAGAAGACTCAATTACCTCCTGTCACATCGCTGAATAATTCCTTCTTGCCATTGATACACCTCAGGATTACTCTGCCAGGAGTTAAACGAGGAAACCATAATATTAATGCTAGTCGGTATGCATAACCTCACGGTTGCTAGATAATCTTAAGAAAAATAACTTCTAACGTGTCCTTCAACTGCCTGCGCTCAACAAAACTGCCGTCTTCGTTTCACATAATTCCCTAAGAGAGGGAGGGAGAGATCTCCTGACGAGCAAATAAACGATAACTTAAAATCATTTTTAAAGCACGAAAGCTACAGTATTTAATAAAGGACCACGGTTGGGACTAAATGATCTCTTCACGTCAACTACCCCACAACACTCTGAGGTTGTTAGACTCACTGTCAGTTGCCTATATAGCAATGTGAGGGGGCTGAGAGGAAAGTAGGTGAACTCCGAAATCTCCAAGCACACCTTCAACTGAAAATAATCATTCTTACTGAAACGTGGCTAAACCCCACTATCGCCGACAATGAAATCAGTATAGGTGATATGGTACTGGTCAGAAGAGACAGGGATAATAAGGAAGGAGGGGGAGTTGCTATATACTTTGATAGGCAACTTAAATGTGTGCGCGCAACGGACCCACCACTTATCGAACTCCCAGACTCCATATGGTGTCATTTCACCGTAGGCCACACCAAGCACTTACTGGGTGGCATCTACCGATCTCCCACCTGTGGGGCAGAGCACAATCAGCTACTGCTCAGCACTATCACAGGAATACGAGATTTGGGCTACGACCAAATCACCATAGCTGGAGATTTCAATGCTCCATCACTGAACCTCGGCTCCGGGTGTGCTAAGGGAAAATTTGGCCGAAACCTACTGCAAACTATTCGAAACACGGGACTGACTGAGAATGTTGGAGACGACACTAGGTGGGGCCCTAGTGGAAAGTCATCAAAACTAGATTATATTCTAACTAGTGACCAGCTACTCGTCGAAAAGGTCCAGATCATGACTCCTCTGGGAAGCAGTGACCATGCAGTCATAGGTTTCGATCTTGTCCTCCGTGAGCGTTTGCAATGGGATGTTACGCGACCATGTCTGTGCTACAGCAAGGCTGACTATGCTGAAATGCGGAGGCTCTTGTCCGACGCAGACTGGCCCTTAGCATGGGACGACCTATCTGTGGATGAACACTGGGAAGTGGTAAAAAAGATTATCCATACAGCAATCTCGGATACCGTCCCTTTAGTCACAACACAGCCTAAGAGAAAGACGTCATGGTTGAAGAGAGGCACGCAACGTATTCTGCAAGCAAAGCGGAAGGCTTGGTTTACGTGGCGTGTATCTAAGAGTCAGACCGACCATGATGCATACCTCGAACTCAGGAACCGGTGTAATGCAAGAGTCAGGAGGGACAGAAGGTCATTCCAGGCTAACCTTGCTAAAAAACTCCTATCAAACCCTAAAAACTTGTACCGATTCATGTCGGAAAGAAAACCGACAAACCAAGGGGCATGCGCCTTAGTAGGCCCAAACGGTCAATATCTCACTAGTCTGGAGATGGCTGAAACATTCAGTTCAGCCTTCGCTAAACAGCTAAACAGCAATGTGGATATTACAGTTACGGACCAAAATGGTGGCACCACTATTTCAGAGGAGGAAGACCTAGCGACTACTCCCCAAATAAACCCCGCAATAGTACTAAGGAAGCTACAGCGACTCATACCTGGGAAGTCCCCAGGTTGTGATGACATCAGGCCATCTGTTCTGAAACAGTGCGCCGAGGCTCTCTGTAGACCCCTGTGCGACTTGTTCCAACACTCAATGGATTCGGGGACCCTGCCAAGGGAGTGGAAAAGAGCCATCCTTTCTCCAATCTTCAAGGGTGGGGACAGGCAAAACGCTGCTAGCTATAGACCAGTAGCTCTACTCCCAGTGGTATCAAAAGTACTGGAAAGTATTATTGACGACCACATCAGGGAATATTTCGATAGGACTAATATACTACATGAAGCCCAACATGGTTTCAGAAAAGGCAGATCCTGCGTCACTAACCTACTGTCAGCTTGGGACGACTGGACATCATGCTGGGACTTGAACGTACCAGTCCATGTGGTCTTCCTAGACTTTGAGAAGGCATTTGACACTGTTCACCATGACCTTCTCCTACATAAAATAAGCCAGGCAGGCATAGGTGAGCCACTTCTGTCATGGTTGAAGGACTACCTAGCCGACAGGCAATTTTGCACTAAGGTTAACCGAGTCCGATCATCTTGGCACAGATCGTCATCAGGAGTGTCGCAGGGTTCTATCCTAGGACCACTGATGTTTTTGATTTTCATCAATGATCTACCACGCCGTCTGAGCTGCCCGACTCTCCTGTACGCTGACGACGTAAAAATATGGAGGGCGATAAAGTGTCCGGAGGACTCAGATAGGCTACAGGAAGACCTAAACCTTCTGGAAGACTGGGCGGTGGCCAGTGGCATGACTTTCAACTTGAAAAAGTGCAAAGTAGTGAAGTTGCGCACCTGTAGACTGCAGAATGCAAGTTACACCCTGTGCAATGAAAGCTTGTCCTGCACAACGTCGGAACGCGACTTAGGTCTAGTTCTAACGGAAAAAATGGACACAAGCGTAAATTACACAGGGGATGTAGCGAGGGCATATGCGGTCATACACTTTACGCATAGACAGTTAGGTGCACTCACTCCTGAGCTCTTTCTAATGTTGTACAAAACATACGTCAGGCCACACCTTGAGGTGCATAATATTATTGCACCCCCAATGCTGAGAAGAGATGCCAACCTCTTGGAAAGAGTCCAACGACGGGCAACAAAAGGAGTGGTTGGTCTCCGAAACAAACCATATGATGAAAGGCTGAAGAAATTAGGCCTGTTCACACTTAGTTACCGTCGGCTTAGGGGGGATTTGATTACTGCCTACAAAATAACAAATGACCAGAATCACCCAAACAAAGGTGTTCTGCCATTGAGTAGGTATAGGCTTCCACGTGGAAATCCCAGAAGGATAGCTCACCAGAGGGCAAGGACCCGGGTGCGCTCCCACTTCTTTTCACTGCGGGTTTGTCGTCCCTGGAATTCCTTACCGGCAGATGTAGCTATGGCACCGTCTTTGGACGCCTTTAAGCGAAGGCTGGACAACCATGCAGCGATACAAGGACTGCATCCAAATGGCCTATCTCCTTAAAATCGCATTTACCAATCAGGGTAGATAATTAAACTCGTCATTTTACTTCTTTACATTCTCTCCCGTCTTACTCTCCTGACAACTTATTAATATTATAATTACTATTATTATTATTATTACTATTACCGATATATATATATTATTCTTCAAACTTAATGAGCTGACTGTTGTTACGTTTCCTATTTTCGTTTCTGTCTCTTAGTCTGAATAGCTTCACTAATTATATCTATTATTATTATTACTATCTCTTTTCTCTTGTCGACAATACCGAAGGACTAACTGGCGAAAGGATCAACTCCAATCACAGTAGTAACAGTCTTAACATACCTCATACTACAAACCACATATAATTAATCCCAGCACTACTCCCTTTGGAGTCAACCAAAGCTACGACAGTCGAGTGGCGGGACAAGCTACGCAGAAGTTTACCGAAGATCAAGAACCTATACCTCACAATCAAGAAGCGAGCACAAAGAAATCAAATTGGTTTATACTAGCTCGTAAAAACGATATTGGATATTGGAAAAGACGACAATTTATCTTATGAGGCATGGTTCAAACCACCAAGTGGGCTAGCGAGAGTTAACAGACCTCCTTATAATTTGGGGTTTGTCTTGAGATTTATGAATTAGGATCAACGGAACGTTCCGCCAGAATATTTTACATGACTGGTGACCTGATTGTTTGCCCAAGGTCATTTGGTGGCTGATACAGTTCGTCTTCAGATGCTTGTCAGAGAAATTAAAACAGCTTTGGACATCATATTGATGAAAGCAGATAGGAGGGATATGGCGTTAGAGGACACTAGTTACAGTTCTTAACAATAATGCTCCATAGTCTGATGCAACTATCACCCACTGAGACAACAGTCGCAAGAATAACAAAAATTATTTAAGAGCCAACTATGAATTGTTCGTAAAGTAACGATGTTCTCCTGAGTCGTTCAGACGCGCGAAACTCCAACACTGTAAAGCCTACACAGTATTCACAATAATCATGGGATTTATCGAACATTCGGCGATTTTGTTCCCGTAAGCACGGATGTCTAAATGTAAGACTTAAGAAAAACAGTCTGTATAGTAAAAAATATAATTACCAAGTGACTAGACACAGGACGAGCCTGTATACTAGCTTATATGAGACATACCAAATGCAAAAAATTACAGTTTGATGCGGTTTGCGAGTGAAAAATATGGAGTGGATACACTGGATTGAGCATGCATCGATAAAACATCCAATCATTCCTTTTTTCCTGCTACTGTATCTTTTTAGGCTTTGTTTCCGAAAATGCAACGACTATGAAGCCAAGCAGCACAATATGGACGACTACAATAGAAACCACTGCAGCTCCAATGTAAGAAGCTGAACCGTCCATATGAAAAAAGTCTTATCAATGTTAGGAGAGTTAGAACTTACCCGATAATACAAACTTTGAAATAAAAAGTGAGGATAGTGGCAAGACAATGATGAGAATACTAAATAGAACAAGCATTCGAGAAGCCCTTGGATCCACCAATTCTATCATCTTTCTAAAAGAAACGAAAAGAAGTACCGCAGCAGTTCAGTTACACCGCATATCCAATATCCAATATCTTCTCAGTAAGCTAGAATGAATGTAATGATTTCTCGCCACTTGCTTCTTATTGTCTCAGAACGGTGCTTGCCTTTACTCAAGAGTTCCATGTAGTTGAAGCTGACCTATTTTTGTTGTAGTATCTTAGGTTAGTCTCCAGCTTTCCGCTGAGAATGTTACCGCCAATTTCCGAGTTCAGATGATTTATTGCTTGTCTTCACCCAAGTTATGACCTTATTTGGTGATTTCCGTGATGTTTCTCAAATGATTTCCAAAAATCGCTGTGGCGATATCAATAACTGCCATCGATATGTCGCACTTCTGTCAAAACTGTGAAAAATGACAAATACCAGGTAATGAGTAAAGTTAATACTGTAGTATGAGTGACTTTATTGAATACACCTCTCTAATTGTGGCATTGTGATCGATTGCTATCCTGGTTTAGTGATACGGTATAAATGTCACATGCCGTTTAATTAAAATTTTGCATTGAATTCTTTCCGATGTTTATAATTTTGGCGGCACAGCGTCCTTGAACCGCATTACATTTATTGCACTTGATACTGACATTTGTGTGATGCATCGAATCGAAGGGTTAATCACATATTTGTGCTTTTTGAGGATATTGTGCTAATCTGATTGACCTATTATCTTCGCTGGTACAAAAGTAATGCGTTTGTAATTATCCATTGCGTAATTTCAGGGTGAGTTTCTGTTCTTATATATTCATTACAGCCTGTCCTGCATTACAAGACACAATTCATTGACGATAAGAACACACTCTGTGGCATCATGGTGAACTTTTTTCTCAGACAGCCTTTATTTTCCAAGAAGGTCTAACTTCTCTGCAGTTCCGATCTGGCAAACATAACGCAGGCTCGCACATGAAGGAAGATTACTATCCCAATTGGAATATGCACAAGATCTCTGGCAAGTATGTGAGACTTTATTGCAGTAAAAATACTACCATGCATCAAGTTGCACTTCAGCTTCGTGTGAATTAAGAGGTTACGAATTCCTCGCTTCTCTCTTGGGCACAAGCACACAGGATGTACCTGACAAGATCGTTTATATTAAGTACCGTAAGGCCGAGTAGAATTTCGCCATTTCAGTCTTATATGTGAGAAGTTGTGAAGAAAGTGAATATACTTCTATAGTGCGTTTGGGATAAGGACTTCATAGTGGAAACAAGGGGCTTCACCATTTATTGAACTTACACAACCAAAATCTCCCTTTCCTGGTTTGCTAAGGAAATTAACAAAGGTTTTTAAAAAGGCAGTACGTCAATATATAAACTTCGTGAATTCAATTCACCTAACACCAAAATTAAGTCTGCAGGGTTCCGTATTTCTAGGAAGCTGTAACACATCATCCATTTCTGCAACCGTCATCCACATATTCGCTTGATTTAATCATATATGTTGTCAGCCATGTCTCGTAAACCGTTAATGCCCAGCTCTTGCTACGCTCGGGCCCACGCTGTTCCTTGAAGTTTCTCAGAAACGCTTAATAATAACGGACGCGAAAACCAAAACACCGATTGGCCACTCGAGAATACTTTATTGTAACACCAACATATAAAAAATGTTACCATTAAGGTCTGTGAACAAATATTACAATAATAAATCACAATATTACTTCTGACAGTTGTCTCCTGACTTCTTTCTGAACAGCGACCGATGAGACGATGACTGGTGTATTGATGCCTCCGCGAAAATTGGGGAAGTTGGGTTTGAGCAAACAACCACGAATTGATCGTTCAATCTTCAAATACATTGACACTCCCCGCCAAAATACGGATCCATCCTTTTTTCCTTCACGACCAATACACGTTGACTTGGATGCCATTGCGAGAACCTGGGTCACACGGACAGAGCTGAAATGGAAAACAAACAGAAAAGCCAACACACCACAAGCATACCCACAACACAATCTCACACATTGATGAAGACCTGCGCTCCCAGATAAAGGCCTCCTCTTGACATCTGGCGTTACAATCGCCACTTGCTAGAATGACTTTCGCAGAATCCAAAGTGACCATGGCACCACGTAATGATACTCCACTCACGTCGTCATATCTACTCACTACAAATTACCACTGGAATCGCTTGTCACCCATTCTGCCTCAATTCTAGGAACGATGACGTATGCGAGCCTCAGTCGTTTACACTCTTTCTCCCCGGCGTGTCGGACCGAAGCTAATACTTATCTACGTGTGCATGTCATTCTCACCAATAGCGTCCCCGGCGTATACGACCCATCTGCTGTCTCTAACATCAATCAATTCATTCACGAACGTAGAAGACTAGAAACAACTTCAGAAGTAATCACGACGAACAATTTAACAAAATTATGCAATAACAACAAGGTACGAAAACAACAAGTAAACACAATGAATCCAAAAACACCAATTGACATGAAACACCACACGCATATACAAACAGTGCACACAAACTCGCAAATCGTGTCTCGATGGAATTCCTTTGAAGAATCGCAGGACTTACACCAGTACGCCTGCAAACCTTCACAGGTTGACGATTGTAATTTGTGGAATGTCCGGACACACACAAGATTAACCAACAATTACAATAATTGGAACAATTATTTAACACAAACATATGTACAATCACTATATCAAATGTTGTGGATTCTGGCACGACGAACTACCCTTGAAGAACTGTAGGACTTACAGCAGTACGCCTACAACCCTTCTCACGTTGATGATCCAAGTGGAAGTCGTCCGGACACAAACAGAATTACCAACAGCTAGATGACAGATGATATCAATTCAGTATATGCAATATGAACATATGTACAAAATCACACACCAAGCACACTGGACTGATCATTGATGCGCTACCCTTTGAAGAATTGTAGGACTTACAGCAGTACACCTACAACTCTTCTCCGGTTGACGCTCTAGGTTGGAAAATCGTCGCAGAGTTCATTTGCTGACTTCCTTCTATCATCTATATCCTCAAATATCAACGGAAACACGCTCAAGTCATTGTATCGTAGAATATAGATGACGAACAAACACACGACGTATCTGGTCAACCAAGCGTAGAAACAGAGTAATTTACACCAAAGATAATAACATTCAATTAGTAACCTGAAACTAGAAATGCCTCTATTCATGCAAGTCAATTTAACAATTACTCTCTCCTTTACACTTGGCTTATTCTCACTAAACTGAGCAATATCTTTCGTCTTTTCAAACGCACCAATACTATCATAGTCATTGCAAAAGATACTTGAGTTGATGGGCATCTGTTTCATTGTGGATGACAGCACCAACGACAAATGAGTGACACAAGTTGATGAGCATAGCGGTGGACCAGAATCTGTTGTGACACGACATTCAGAAATTTGTCTACCTGTAAGACCATCACCACTGCTGTCTTTTACTATCAGCTCAGGTTTAGCACTAGCATCTGATGATAGATAGGCTTCTCAATGGAGTTGAAGATTGAACGATCAATTCTTGGTTGTTTGCTTAAAATCAACTTCCCCAATTTTCGCGGAGGCATCAATACGACAGCCATCGTCTCATCGGTCGCTGTTCAGAAAGAAGAGTGAAACATCGTCAGAAGTAATAGAATGATTTATTATTGTAATATTTGTTTTCAGACCTTAGTTCGCTTATTCCTTTTATATGTTGGTGTAACAATAAAGAAATCTAAAGCGGCAGATCAGTGTTTTGGTTTTTGCGTCCGTTATAACTAAGCGTTTCTGAGAAATCTTCGAAGAACAGCGTGGGCCCGAGCGTAGCGAGAGCTGGGCATTAACGGTTTATGAGACGTGATTGACAGGGCTACATGCTGATCACTCACACTGACGGTCTCACAAGTATGCATGCCTTCTGCAACTGCATCTGCATTTATTTCTACTTCACGTTCAAGTTGTACAAAACTTTTGTTCAACTCAGCAGTAGTAGGCATTCCCCTCGCCTCATCATGATCAACCAAAGACAACTGTGAAGTATCATGATCATTATCACGAATATTCACTTTACCGTCAACTTCATCATTTTCAAACTCTTTAATAACAGAGGTGGACAATTTTGGTTCCTCCCCGCAAATCCTAACAGATTTCATAACTTCACTCTGACTAGTAATACCTTGTAAACTTGTAGGGTCAGAACTGGACTCTGAGGCAGCAACTCTATTCTGTGACGCTCTATTCAACAATGGCTTACCAGTTGCAACTACAGACTTCTTGACCACACCGTTATTGTCACACAATTCGGAGTCAGACCTGGAGTTTACATTTAGCTTATCACTGAACTTGCTCACTGGTTCACAGTTCCCCTTTGTATGCACCTCTTGCAAACGTGTGAAACACAACCGTGTTTGTCTTGCATCTTGCAACTTATCTGTTGAGGATGTACTACGAAAGCTGTTACACTCACTAGATCTATATGCATTACTAGACATCATGGAGCCTTCTCGATATCCACCTCTCTTAGGCCCTTTCGTCATCAATGATTGCATTTTGCTCTCAGACTGCTCTATTCTAGGGGTGAGATCTAATAGACTGGAAAACTTGCTCATAGATTGATTGACGCTATCTTTTACCAGTTTCAGGATATCATCAAACTTTGGCTCGATACCCTCATCCTCCATACGGGAGCTTATCTTCACCCACTTCCTTTGCAGTCGAGTAGGTAGACGTCTTGCTATTACTTTTAGTATAAAACTCGAGTTGAGGTCACTCATGCGATCCATCGAAATCATTCCATTCTTGTAAATTAGCAAATTATCTAAAAACTCAGTGAGTGCCTGGGAGTCATCCTGTAATTGACCACCATTACCCTTAACAGCCTCGAATAATTTCCCTGCAATCATCGAAGGTCTTCCAAACCTTTGACGTAATATGCTCATAGCCTCATCGTAGCCCTCTTTCGGCTTCATAAACTTACAATACTGTATAGCTCTTGCAGCATCTCCAGTGCAATACCTCAACAAATAAATCAATTTCAATTCATCACTTAATAGAAAAGTACTCAGCATGATCTCAAAC